CCCGGGCTGTGCGCGCGACCCCCCCCCTCCACCCGCCGCCAAGCGAGCGCGTCAGGCAACTCAGCCTCACCTTCTTGTCAGGGGAGGGAGGGAGCGCGCGCCCGCCCGCCCGCGCGCCTTTTCCCTCCCGCAGCACGTGCCGCCGTGAAGCTCGTGAGGCATCCGATGCGGCCACATTGCCTGCTCCTTCGGGGTTGCGCTCTCTTCTTGACCCTGAGAGCGACCCAGATTTTGCTTTCTCCCCCCCACCCCGCACTTTCTATTCCTGCCCCGGCCATTTCTCTCTCTGTTTATCTTACCTAACGCAGGCGCTCGGGTCGAAGCTGTTAACCGTACTGGCTTTCTAAAGCAGATTGCATGCAGTCCCAGAAAACACTTCCAAGGGCTTGGTTGGGCCCATCGGAAGCTACACCTGCAGACCAAATTGATTCCTCAGCTGCAAGCTCCTTCAGGCTACTATTATAGGAAATGAAGGGAAAGAGTTCTGTGCAGCGTTTGAGAAAGAGCAATCAGTGGAAATTTATACCTAGGCAGTTCCTCTTGAGTTTTTTGAAACAGTGCCAAATTTAGTATCCTTTGTATTTACTTATGCAGGATGGAGATTCTTGGAGAATGGTGATTAATCTAGTTTTAATTATTTTTTTCAAACTGATCTGAAATTTAGTTTTAACCAGTTAAATTGCTAGGCAGGGCTCCCATACAGTTGGAACTGACTTGACATTGTTTCCAATCCTGAATAGTTTCCTATATGGTTATACAACTTGTGGAAACTTTTACTGTACCATACTATTGTTATGTGCTGTCAAGTTGCCTCTGAACAACGGAGACCCTATAAGTGAGAGATCTCCAAATGTCCTGTCCTCAACTACCCGGCTCAGCTCTTGAAAATTCAGCTCTGTGACTTCCTTTTAGGGAGTCAGCCCATCTTGGGCTTGTCTTTCTCTTTTTCTGCTGCCTTCCACTTCTGCCAGCATTATTGTCCTTTCCAGAGAATCCTGCCTTCTCATGACATTCCCTGTGTCAGTGTCTTTTAGTGATTCTTCTTCAGGAGCAGAAAATTGCATTGGATTTTGTAAGAACAGAGAAATCTTCATACTGTTGAACTTGACAAAAATGTTGGTGTCTTATCATCAGATCTTGAGGTCTATCTGTTACCATCAAAGAAGCAGTTACAGATTATTTTACAGTTATATAACACCAAGAAAGAACTAGAAGTTATTGGACATGTCTGACCTAGTTTTTGTACTGTAGATCCCATTAAAAAATAATGGATATCCCATTTGTGTACAGTCCTATTGATGGGATACATTTAACAATCAAAATATAGTTTTTTTAATGGTATAATATGAATCCCAGGATCCCAGTTTTCAGTAGTTTTCCTGAAACTGATAAGGATATATGCTTCATACCTTCACTCTGTGCCCCCTCTTTACAAGGGGATGGAGGCCTGGCTTACTCAATAGTAAAGCTCCCATTACCACCATCTTTTCACAAAATAGATGAAGGGAATCCCTTTCCATCCAAGAGATAGGGAGATTACCAGTTGCCATCTATCTACTTGCTTTCTTCTTGTCTCCCATTAATGAGAAAAGAAAGAACACTGAATTGTACCAAAAACACAAATAAAAAGTTTGGATCACATTCATGTCAGAAAGAAGGAGTAGGGTGGAGGAGGACAGTAATCACATATTTCAAGAGAAACAGTCGTGCAAGTGACACGGGGGAAAAAGCAAAGGGAAATGTGTTGCTTATATACTGCCCCATAGGACTTAAAGCACTGTTTGGGTGATTTACAATTTTTAATTATACAGGCTACACATTGCCCCCCTCCCCCGCAGCAAGTTGAGTACTCAGGATCAAACTCATTTTTTGAGCAGAGTCTTGATTGCAGTACTGCATTTTAACCACTGTAACCAAAATATAACATTAATATAAGAGTGCATCTTTTAAAAAATGTTGGAAGTGGCACATTGGACCCCTCCCCCACCCGAAAAAAAAACCTTTGAGCAGAGAGAATAGAAGAGGAGGATATGTTTCTGTTGTAGGAAACAGCAGAGACTTTCTAGCTTTGCCCTGTGGTTTGCTTTATCAGCTGCCCACCTGGCCAAAGAAGTGCTTTCATGCACCCAGCAGTGCTGATACCTGTCAGGTTTTTGTAGCTGTTGTTTCCTCCTTTCATGGTGTTACTACTAATGGTCCATTAGAATACACACTCATCAAGGCTTAGAGCCTTGTCTTTTATCCTTTCTCAATGCAACCTGAAGAAACATGCCTGAGGGGAGGAGAAATCATTGTGGACTTGTTTACACAGGCAAATTCAGCAGTTGGAATTCTCCAACATGAAGGTGCCCAGGATCTGTGGTACTTGTGCAGTGTGAATGTGAGGTGTGTGCTTATGTGTATGTTTGTCAGAGAACCACTTTCTTATTGTCCTGTAGCAAAGAGGTGTTCTTCTTGATCCTACATCTTGCTCAGTACGATTTGGCCAAATATGGCATTTTGAGTTTCTTATATGTAACGGACCACACGTTTTCTGAATAGTTTTTATCCCAGAGCTATAATTGCACTTAATAATGAGCTTAAAGACCACCAGTAGTGAATAGTTAATAATAATAATAATAATAATAATAATAATAATAATAATAATAATAATAATAATAATAATAATAATAATAATAATAATAATAATAATCTCCCCACCCCCATATATTTTGTCTCTCATGTGCTTTCTGCACAGTTTCATTGCTTCAGCTCTAGCTGTGGAGAAAGTGGGATCTTGAGGTAGTCAGAGGTTTGTTTTGTTTTTTGTTTGCAGTAACCACCTGGGGAAGAAAAAGAGAGGGCTTCCCAAGAACCCACCCCCACCTGCTGTAATTTTCATTTTCTATACCTCCTCCTCCTATCATTCTTTTCCCCCCTCCCCACTTTTCTGGGTCTGTTTAAGACTCACTAAATGCAAGAAGTGTTGCAACTCTGAGCAGCCTTACACAGCCATGACACTCCTCCACTCAAGATGTCACCGTCAAATCACTCTAGGACTTTGGAGCAATATTGACAACTACACATCCTAGAAACTGAAATTAAACTTTACAATCCCAGTGGTTCCAAAAAAGGAAAAGCCCTTGTGGGTTATCCCCAAAAGTCCAAACAGGCATGGAAAAAGGATCAGCTGTTTCAAAATTAGCCATACACCGTGTAGTCCCCAGAAAAAACATCAAGCTTAACCAACCCAACAGGGGCACAAAAGGAGGATATATCATTATGCAATCACACCTTAAGACGGAGGTAAGGTTTATTACATATTAAAGAAGAAGTAGTGCAACACGTTCTTTAAAAATATCATATTTAGGGAGAATAATAACTGGCTTTTTCGCTGGGCACTGCTGAAGTGAAATAAAACCAAACACCACATGTATGTAAGCATTTTTTGGTTACTCAAAATATTTCCTAAATTTCTAGACTAAAGATAACTGAATGACCCTGACTGGCTAATATCTGTGAGTAATCAGCATTGTCATTGCATGATGTCAATCTTGCCTGTCATGGTGCCATCCTATGAAGTGGGAGACAAGTAGTTTTTGTTTTTAGGGCTACATAACATTATGCAGCAGTCCACAGTAATTCTGGATTTAAAACAACCACTCTGGATGCAGTGTAAACACTACAAAGAGATTTATTCAAAAAGAATGAGCATAAAACTTTGCTGTTTAGCTCCTGTCTGTTGTACACTTAGCTGAGAGTATGAGGCTGACCACACGGGCTGTTTATCCTGCTATTGGAGCACTGCAGGGCTGGGTGTGCTGTTAAAGACAGTAATCAGATGACGTCTCACCAGCCTGCCCCCCCCCAAAAAAAATTCCTGCCCGCAGCTTTCTGGCCCCTGTCAAAGGGCTTCTGCTTTGGTGTGGGTAGAATTACTCTGGTATGGATCGGTTCCAGTGTGTGTGATCACTGGAACCAATCCAAAGTATGATTTCCTCTTTCAATTTGCAATTAATCACTTCCCTTGCTCTTCAGAGGATAAGGGAAGTGAAAAACCTTTTTGAACATATGCAGACTATCACTGATGCACTACATCAGTTACAAATAAAAATAAAAATCTTTTCTTTGACTCACTTTAAAGGACTGGTTGGGAAACCAGCTGCAGTTGAATCCATGGAGGTGGCTTGAGCTGTAGGGAGTTTCTCAACTAGCCCTTCTTTTCCTTACCTCTGCAGATCAGGGGAAGCATTTAGTTTGCCAATATCTTGAAGCATCTTGCTTTTAAAGTTACTTCATGATATTGGCAGGAG